AATTTAAAAACCAACATCTACTGGACAAACCGGTGACGCACATAACTGCAAGTTGCTGCAAAAGTTAGCAGTGGAAGCGAATATGGCATCATTTAAAAAGGTACAACATGCACACTAAAATATCTTAATTAATAAAATTAATTACTACAACTGTTATATGATTTTTGTTGAGTACTTAAACCACCTCAAATATTTCCAACAGGTATCAAAGCCAGAGAAATCCATAATTTTATTGTTGTAGCCGGAACTGTCTTATCGCTGCAGCCACCATGACTGATATGACATGTTTATCGTTGCCGTGGAAACACCGGATGTTAGGTCAAAGACTGCTAAATAAAGGGCCTTTCAGTCAGTAGCCATAAGCTACTCTGGACTACAACAATAATGGCGGACTCCCGAGTTCTGTTTTGTGCGCTTCCATTTTAGTGAGTTCAACAACGCTTCTCCAGCGTTTACGGCACCATCACTTTGACCAGCGGTGACGTGATATGTGTCATCGAGAAAATTCCAACGTTCAACCATGCCATCAATCATTTAAGGAAGGGCGACTGCATCATTTTAAAACACACAGTTAACCCATCGTCACCGATTTAAAATGTAAAATTAACGTCTTTCTAGCAGCACGAACACCAATAACACTGTGAAACAGCCGTCGCCGGGGTCCCATTCAGCGTGCTACCATTTATTGTCCTGTTGCATTGTGCACCAGGCTACTGCAATCAGCATTTAGCACAATACTGATTCATCACAAAGCTACAAATCAGTCTACCCATGCAGTCTGTGCAAACACCCCTCCACCAAAGGAGCGCCAACACATTCCTGTCCTCAGATGCCGTTAGGCCCACACAGGAGAGCTATCAAACACAGAACAAAGTTTTAGTAATGAGATCAACTTTTACTGGCATCGTCATTATGACTTTGATGGATGTAGTGATCTGAGGCTCTTCCTTCTCGGGACCAAAAACGTGAAACACATGCCATGAGTCACACCCAAAAGTTTACCACATGTCCAATTTGAAGACAGAAATGAATTCTGAGCAGAGACAAATGGACTGACAGAGAGAGCGCTCAATACAGCAGATGTCAACGTGAGTGCGAAAGAGGCCCAGAGAAGGAGAGCCACATTATCTCAATCTGCAGCTATGCCGAGTACTCTCCCAGCAACAGTGTCCTCAGCACAGCCAGCTCTCTTCCTCCCAGTAGCGCCTTTTCTAAAGGTTTCAGACGCACGTACAAAGTGAACATCTTCAACCCAGATGTTCCACAAAGTAAATCTATGCCACACTGTATAAAAAGGGATGACGAAAGTGATCAAATCTGCTTGAAAAAGTTGATTGGTTTAAGATTAAACACTCACTAAAAAGACAACTTAAAAACGATGTAAAAATGGAGAAAAGGGGAACTTCTGTGTCCGTGTGAGTGGAAATAAAGCGAGCGTGCAATGCAGGGTTGGCAACGTGAAAGCTGAGCACATAATCAGCCTCAGACGAGAAAGAGGAGATGCCCGATGGCATCAAATATTTCCCTCAAACAAGACTGAGCATGCAGCCCGATCCTTGTGAGAGCATGCAGAGTAACGACCCTTTTTTTTAAAATCATAAACATTTCGAGGAATGCTCATTCAGACTCGCTGTTGGGAGATAAAGAGCAATTATACCCACACACACTTGCAACACACATTTGTAGCCAAAGTCCTCAGCATCAGATCGAGACTAGAGTGCGTTTTTGGCAAAAATCTGGGGAATCAGCATGCAACACAACAAAGGGTTGCGATTTAGTTATTGCCACATGTTGCAATGCTGTAAGGCAATGTACTGAACTATATTTTTTCCAACTATAATTTATTATCTTTGAGTCTCTTTCTTTGTCATTGTGTTAAGACTACAGCATGAGCTTTTCTGTCAGTATTATGTTGAGAAAGTTCTAAATTCATTTCTGCAGTTTTTATAGAATTCAAATAATAGGTACACGAGCTGAAAGCTGAAGTTTGAGCACATTCACCCTACGACTTCCTCTCTGCTTGGCGGGTCCCAACACTCGCTCAACTGTCAGCCCAGAAAAAGAGCAACACTTTTAATGTTTTTTTTTTTATAAGGCTGAGAGCTGGAATGAGGCGGAACAGTTTCCCAGCCAAGCCCTCTTCTCTTTCTCTCTTACCCTCTCCACATCTGCTGCACTCATGTAAACCCCTGTGGCTCAGCGAGATGAGGCCCCTTTCCAAAACCTCCATTCCCCCTACCAGAGCTGACTGTAGGAACTATCAAAACATACAAAAAAAAAAAGAAGGGGAGGGGGGAAGTGGAGTGGGAGGATGAAGAGAAGAAAAAAAAGCTGAGGAGTGGGAGGAAGGGGAGTGAGATCCCTCGGTGGTGGGCAATAAATCACAAACACTCTGAGAGCAACAAGAGCCCAGCCTCCATCGCAGATCCCCTCTTCAAAGCCCCCTTGAGCATGCATGTCCCTATGAAGGCCCCCGAAAGCACCCCTCGCCTGCTTTAGCCCCTCTACCAAGCCCCCGGCTCCGCTCAAGTCCTGATCCTTTCGCACACTATCCCTTGCACATACCCTTTAGCAATCACAGGGCCCTCTCTCTCTCTCTCTCTTGCCCACAACCTCAGGGGCCTCTTCCCCCCCCCCCTCTGCGTGTCTCTCACAGCCCAGCACACAGAGACTTTTCTTCTCCCGGTGCTACATTCACACTCGCTCCAGGCTCAGCACTGCCACTCAACCACAACACAGCCATTCAACACATGCCCCCTTCATACAGCTCCCTCGCTCACCCTGCAAAACCACAGCAAAAGAATTTCACAATCGTACCACAAAAGGCAGAAACTAGAAACCTGGCAACTGCAGCTGCTCTTTAGGTGAGCAGAAACGCTTTAAGCGCACATTCATGCAAAGCCGCAGCGTCTTTAAAAAGATGCACGTTTTTTAATTGCAGTTCAGGGATGTGGCGCGGGCGGTAACACTGAATCAGAATTCTGGAGGGTAGGTTTTACACGCAACACACTTTAGAATTCACAGAACTTGGAAAATAACTAACATCTAACTTTGAATCACTTGCTTAAAAAAAAAAAAAAGTCCTGCAACTACAGTAAGAGCTCGAAGATTTCTAAAGTTTAAACGCTGTAAACGTCCTAAAGGGCTAATTACATTTAGGTTTTAACAAAAGTGGAAGAATTTTACAATCAAAAGCTCCAAAGTTGTTTCATTAGGAAGCATAATGTTCTTATATGCAAATTTGTAACTCCAAATAAGACAACATTGGTCCGCAGCATTTTTTCCTGCCTGAACCTGTTGCTAAGCTAGTCATAATCTTATCTTGAACAGAAAAGCTAGCCAAGCTGTTTCCTCCTGGGTTTCAGGGACGAAGCAATTTGCCTTAATCACCAGTACATAGTGATCTAATCGCCCTTCCCCACGCTGATAAGTGAATGATATTCCCTTAAGATGTGGCTCTGTGGTGAACACACAGATGATATCCTCTAGAGCCATATGGCTGGCACAAGATGCTCTGGTATACTATGGCCTGGCTGTGGGCCAGCGCCATTGTCCTCCGGGAATCAGCCTGGCTCACATTCAGTGCAGCTGTAGAGCACAGGAAGGAGATACTTGTTGCAAAAGACTCCTGAGTGTTTTTGCAAAATCAGCATCTTTCTGTTGCCTTATTCAGCTGAATCCAAATATTTGAGATGTTCACGGTTTTTTTTCCCTCTACAGATAAATACCTGTTTACACTTTTTAGTTTGGTTTGGTACAACTCTATGTGCTCTTCAGTTTATCTCAAATTACAGCTGTGAAAATGCCCCCAGGCCGCACCACAAACCAAACAGTCAATTCTTTGTTCTTAGTTTATCTCGCCATGGTTTGGGTTTTTTGGATGGTTCACACTTTCGGAGCAAATCGGGGAGTACTGGCAAGCAAACACGTTAACTGACTGAGTCTGCAGCACTCACTGATTGGTCCAAAGATTTCTTTTCGGGCGTTTCAAACCTTAACTGTTCAGTTTGGTTGACGCAAGTTAATGTGGTTAATTTATGCCGGTGTGAAAGCTGATCAAACAAACCCCGGAGTGGAGCAAAAAACAGTACCGAGATTGCTCGAAAAGTGGTCTCAGTCCCCTTTTCTCCAGACTCTGGTACAGTTCATTTCCAGTATCAACACGAACCGACCCAACTGTAGATTGTCACAATCACCGAGTGCCCTCTCTCTTCATCGTCACTGAACATGTGTTTAAGACCACAGGCAGGCCTGACTGATCTTCAGAAACAGTTTGGGTGGCTGAGCAGGTCCTGGTTCAGGAGGATTAACATGCTCCTTCTTCTGAATTATCAGAACATCATCATATTATGTTTGAGCTGCAGTAGCGCCCCATTTTCAAACTGAATCGTTGCCTACAGCGATAAATGCAAACGATATAAAAACCGATGAGCAGAGCAGACATCAGTCATCTGTCCGTTTACAAACTGTAAAATGCCTTAGGAGCAGCCACAGCCAATCAGGAGGCAACCAGTCTTTGTTTACTTCAGAGACTTTTCCGCAAGATGTTCCTACCGATTAGAGCATTGTCCTCGAGCGTCACACATTTTGGTCCGCTTGTAAATGCACCCGTGTGAACACAGACCAAACTTGAGGTATTTATGCAACAAATGGATCCATGATTCAGACCAGAGCAACCGAACTATAGAAGTGAAAACGCCCTAAGAGTCATTTGGGGGGAAAAAACTTGAAACAACTCAGCCATGTTCCAGTTTATTCTCCAAGAGAGAAAGCCTAACAATCTGTCCATGAATGACCGAAAACAAACATCAATGAAGTCGTTAACCCCATGCCGTTATCAGTGACCCCCATATGATAGGAACTAAAGGAACGACTGATTTACCTGACAACCATTATCCAATGTCTGCAAACTTGTAATCGTTAATGCTTACAAGGCTGGTAAAGATTAACCAATCTCTTAAGATATGAAAATACAGTTTTGTTGTTTGGGGTTAACTCACCTTGCTCTGAGTCGGAGTCTGCCTCCGTCTTGTAGACCCCCGGAGCTACAGGTAAGGGTCTGAGGGGCCTCGGCTTAGGTGTAGGCGGAGAGATCCATTTCTTTCCAACGTACTCGACATATGTCCCAGGGAAGTCCCCTTTTTCCTGAGTGGTTTCATTGAAGCCTGGCAGCCAGCCAATCTCATCAGGCCTCTGCTCCAGCCCATCAGTGTACCCGAGGGCCACCAGAGCCCCTTTACTCACCAGCAGCGTGTCCCCCACATGCAGATTAATGTCCTCCTCCCTCTCCTTCTTGTAGTCATAAAGCGCTCTGTACTGATACCCTTCAGCACTCATATTGATCACTTTGTGTCAATGTGTTCTTTTGAAGTTGAGCTTCACGGCAGCAAAGCCACTTTTCAGGTTTCTCTGATTATGTGCTCAGTCCAGGTACACATTTGCTGCAGGTGTACTCTTCCAAGAAAGCTCAACTTCGACAGTTCTCTGAAGACATCTAGCTCGTCTTCATTCTTCCGCAGGTCCTGTCTCTTTTGAATGATTTCCAGTTCTCTTGGTGTGTCGCCTCACAGTATGTACCCATCAATAAACAACCCGACAGCTGGGATCTTGAGAATGCTACCGAGACCTGTAGGATGACAGCGAAGGCATTTATCAGTACATAGCATAAGACAATAACAGTGTCTATAACATGCAATATATAGATAAACACTTTAGAAAATATAATCATGAATATGTATGACGCTGGATCTGAAGAAAAGACATTTGCACTTCCGATAAGTTTATTATCAAGGTTAAAAATGGATAACGGGAAAAACACATGTTCGACGACTGGAACTGAGTTATGATCTTGCGAGCATGAATTAAAAGACCCTATGTTTGCACAAGATAATCATATTTTGCGCACAAGATATTGGGTTGTGTACACAGGACATATTTTACTTGAGCGCACAAGTTAAAATCTTGTGTGCAAAAGTTAATTATCTTGTGTGGACAGGATTTTTTTTGGGACTACAGGGGCTCCTTACGATATTTGTGGGGGAAAAAACGTAAATAAAAATCGCTGGTTCGGTCTTGCTTTGTAACCTGCTGCACTGTGAGTGAGAGAGGGAGACACCCACGGTATCATATTTTTGATTCATAAACTAATCGACTAATTAACACCTGCCTTAATGTGTCAAAACGTGCAGCAACATCAGGATAGTAAAAAAAGAGACAGGGCTTTTATTTTTAAATATTACGGTACCCTCCCCTCCCCTGGTATCTCCACCTCCATCCTAGAGCAAAACTTTAGCCATTGTTATTCTCACTAGTGAAGCAGTGATGTCTACCAGGAAAACTCAGGGGGGGGGGGGTCATTACATTTAAAGAGACACACACACCAAAACAGAGCGTTCTGAGAGAGCTGGTTTATACAGGGTCACAAACTTCCTCTGGTGCTTGATTCATAATAAATTATAACCACAGCTCAGCACAGATGTTTCATTTAGACCACAGGGGGTCTGTTTGAAAAAATCTTCATATCTCCTCTTTAACATCACTACGCAGCCACTAACTCTGTTATATAACTACAACGCAACAACTGTGGTCTGTTAATGGCTGTGCAACAATAATAGTTGAATTGTAAACGGGATTTGTGTAGTTTCTACATCATGTGATTAAATCCTGGTTGTATATATTCACATTCTTAGTTTTTATATTTTTAGTGCTTATTTACTTTGTATTTAATATTATATTGTGTTTTTTACTCATATTGTGTGTTTGGACAACCTGCTGCTGTAACGCCACAATTTCCCAGTTTGGGATCAATAAAGTAATTCTATTCTATGTAAATTAAGTTTTAGACAGTTGTCTGAAATATCGCGAGAGCAGAGCCGTTAACGGTTAGCTCTGCGGTAGAATATCGCGAGAGTAAGCCGTTAACAGTTAGCTCAGTTAGCATCGGCTCGCTAACACGGTCGGGTAAGTGTTAAATTAGCGAGCCGTCTGCTTCGATTAATCGCGTTAAATAACCTTTAAAACTTAGATTGTGGTATTTTTTTTTAATGACACACAGCAAACAATGACGATAAAGTACACAAAAAGTGAAATATTGAGGCTTTTATGTGAGACAAAAATGGCGAAATTGCAAGTTAACGGGTAGAAAGTAACTTTAAAGAATTAGCAGGAAACTTTAGCTTTAGTAATGCTTTCTTTTAAAACGACTTTTTAAATTGTATTTTTAAACATTTTCTCGCTGAATTGAGGAGCAGGAGCGATACTTACCGAGTTTGCACGAATCCACCGAGTCCTCTTCCTTCCACGTTATTCGGTTAAACTCGTGACTTTACGGGACACTACCGACAAACTGCAACCCCGACGAGATGCTTTACCAATAAGGTTTAAAAACAACAATCCTCAGTTGGCGTTTAAATCCGTTTAAACACTTTTACAACCCCGCAGTCTGTCCACATAACGGCACGGCTTCCCCCCCTCGTCCTGAACAAAATGCTCCCTGGAAACGTCGCCTCTGCTGCCAACGAGGGGGCCAAGACAAAGCACGGGCGCTCATTGGTCCGCGCCTCTGTCAATCATTAACGTTACTGTCAATCGCACCAATGAGAACGACGCTGAAGGCGGACACGCCCCCTTTCCGTGTACTCCACTGCACGCAACATGAAACACCTATGGAAATTACATAACTTCTGCACACAGAGAGTCTGTTAATAACCACCATACTTTTTTTTTTTTTTTTTTATTACCAGCATGTTTTCTTTGACTTGGCAGGGATTGTTTTCACAGTCAAAGTAATCAAGGCAATGTAAAGATATCACTTTACACACAGTTTCGACTCAACAGGATACGTAAAAAGCTTTAAAACCACTGGGATATCCTTTATTTCTCTGTTTTGAAGTCCAGTACCGAACACGTCCCCTTGCACACCAAACTATATGAGCACAAAAATATATCTTCTAATACACAACATCAGTAGGAGTACGATTTCCTCACACTTTAAACTCTTAATAGGCTCCATGTGCTGTAACAAGAACGGCTATCTGAGCATGTTTTAATACTCAAGATAATGTTTTTATTCCAAATTAAGGCAGTACATCGAAGGCTGCAGCTACTAATTGTTTAAATCTTTTACCTTTAACCTGCCTACCTGCGTAAACACACCTCAGAGTCGTCATCACCTGTATTGGCCCTATTAGGTTTATCACACTCGTTTCCAGGTTTTGATTGAGTCACCCGTTTCTTGGGGGTTGCTAGGGGCTTTCCTCTGGAATTTGTGAGAAGATAAATAAGCGATTAAAAGTGATAGATAAATCAAAAAGTGGCTAGAAGCTAAAAAGACAATGATAACACCTTGCATCCCTGTTTTGAAAAGTGCAAAATAAATGAAATTTATTACCGTTGCTTAGCAAAGCATACCCACTTTATTGGTTTTTTAATCAGTCTGTGTTTTCACTTTTACAGCCCTTTTATAAATCATTACATGTTCTCAGTGTGGAAGGCAACCAAACCTTACAGTCACCATTTCGAGCACATGATTGTGAATGTGGGTGGCCTAATTAACGGTAGGGAAAGAGGGCTGGCCTGCAGAAAATCCCCTATCAAGCATTAACCCTACTGTCCCGGCTGTGCTAAAAGAGGCTGTAAGCAGCTTTGTGAGCGAGGGTATAGCAGGCCCCTTTGGAGCGCTCTGCAGTCACGTCGCAGGCATCGGTCACCGCCGAGAGAAAAAAAAAGAGGAAGAAGTGTGAAGCAAAATGTACAAGTTGGTGGTGTTGAAATCAGCCGTTGCTATAGGAACAAACTGTTGCTGAGTGGTATTAGGAACCCAACTTGATGACTTTAAATGAGTCACTTCATCGGTTTATTTCAGATGAAATCCACAAATGTCATTTTTCAACATCACAGTAACTGTACGGTGCATAAATCCTTTTTCTGCTGAACTGAAGACTCACTTTGTCCTCACCTGTGTGCAGCAGATCAACACTCAATATTTAAATAAGGGGGCTGTAGATTATGCAATTTAATATCTGAACCCCCAGACGATGTAATCCCCCTTTCTGCCTTCACCACACCTCACCCCCTGATTAAAAAAGTCCGGCTCTGGGGACCCATCTGCTGCTCTGATGGGACCCATACTACACCTCTGCACACACACACACACACACACACACACACACACACACACACACACACACACACACACTTTTATTGATCTGGACTTTGATATTTGATTGATAAAACAGGAGTATATCTTATGTCCCCTAAACCTTTTTTTAGACTTCATAATGAGCCGCTGGTGTCAATGCTTGGCGGATTAAAAAAAATAAAAAAGGAGAAGGATGTGGTTAATGTTCAATCGTAAAGTTACTCATTAAATGTTCTTTGTCAGTGGGAACAGGAGAGTGAGAGCAGACGTGTTTACTGACACAACCGTCTGAATAACATGTGTTGCCCTTTTCATGGGACTTTTCAAGCCTACAGTCCAAATACAAACACTCCAATTATGATTCAAATAAAAGTGCTGTGCTGTTTGTTCTTCATGATTCAGAAACATTAGGACTTGAATATTTTCTGTTCACGCTGCACTCTGTTTTGTAAAGTTCATTTGCACGGTAAATCATGCACATACCAGCATCTTTTTTTGGGGCCTTTTTGCATTTATTGGATAGGACAGTTGAAGAGAGACAGGAACTGTTGGGAGGAGAGAGTAGGCGGTGACATGCAGTAAAGGGCAGGGGTCAGATTGAAGCCCCATGCTGCTGCGACGAGGACTACAGCCTCTGTACATGCAGCCTGCGACATAACTGCTAGGCTATCGGCGCTCCAAAGTCAGGATTATGCGCATCAATTAATTTATCAAAATATGTATTTAACTTTAAAAGTGAGCGACACAGTTCACACAGTCTGAGTTCCTCCTGGATGGTTTTGAATCTGACGACTTCAAGAGCGACAGGAAGGATTCACGTTCTCAACTGAGCAACCAAACATCTCTCACGTCTTCTTAAAGTCTTAATATGTGATTTTTCTCACTTAAATATAGAAATCAAGTATATCCTCTGAAAATAACTCTGTGAGTCATGACTGTCTACAATGGGTGTAACACCCGAGTCCCACTGTCTGTGATGTTTTCAGAGTTTTCAGAGTCCTATCTTCACTTTGTTTACATCGCCCGGACGGCCGGCTGACTCCTCCCCTCGTGTATAAAAGTTGTTTAATTGAGGGACTAGAGAAAAGAAGAGTAACATACTGTACTCACTGCTTAACTGTGTTTCTAGATCACGCTGATTTCAGGTAAATTTACATACAGTGTGAAGATACCAGCATAATAAAGATCGCTAGCATTAGCATGCTAACACAACAATGCAGCGCAAGTTGTTTTGGTTTCATGCTGGTGCTCAAGGGCGACATCTGCTGGATCAAAAAACCACATATAAAGCCTTTAAGGTTGCTCTCACATCCGATTCAGTGACGTAGTTGTGACTTAATTTGAATGCACGTCCATCATTTTGGTTTTTCAGTGTTTCATAAGGTTTATTTTGGGGCTTTTTACGCCTTCGTTTTAGAGACAGGACAGTGGATAGAGTCAGAAACTCCAGGAGAATGACATGCAGGAAAGGAGCCACTGGTCTTAATTGAATCCAGGTCACCCACTTGGAAGACCAAAAGCCTCTGAACATGGGGCGCGTGCATTGACACCTAGACTACCGGCGCCCCGACGTCAACATTTTGGAATTACATCCAAATAAAAAGGTCAAACATCTAAACTTTAAACTTGATACAGGGTCATAAATGTCCTGTGAATAATAATAACTAGGCTACCGGTGCCCTGCAACTTCTCCGTCTCCTGCTGCTAAGCCGTTAACACAGATACATCAGGACGCACATTTGTTTACACTGAGAATATTTTGTGGTCATTCGTCTTCTTTCCTTCAGCAGAGAGCAGACAGGAAGCGTGCACTTCAGCGAGCTGTTCCCTGAAGCCGAGCGGAACAGGAATCAGTCCTTAATAAACGCATAAAGTGTTCCCACAGAATCACTATTTTCTGAGTGTAACACTTGAACAGTCTACTATGAGTATCACTCTCAGCGGACATGATGAATACCATGGCGGAGCACTCGAGGTCCCTCATGCAGCGTGTCGGACTTCTTCATCTTTAATTATGGTAATTTTCAAGAGTGAAGTGCCCTGCAGACCACCTACCGAGCTGCAGCCGTCCCAAAACAGACTGAAATAGGTCAACAAGGTCATAATTCAGAATAAAAAAGTATAGTCCACTTCCTTTTAAATGATACGCTGCGTACATAAATGCAAACCTGCAGAGAGTCTCAGGATTACATGAATTCAAACACTTCAATAATGTCATGTGAGCACGCAGCCGCTCCAAGTGGAAAAGCATGCAGAAGGTTTTAGGATTACTTATCACCTCTCGGTGACACACTGCATGTTCTTTGACGTATGAGAATTCAAAGATGTAAATAAAATAAAAAAAAGGGTCTTTCTTCTCCTGCAGAATGTGTCAGAGTGGTTTTTCTGTCTTTAGGAGGGGGGTGGGGGGTGGTAGCGTGCTGTATAGGCTCTCAAACGCTGAATTAAAGCTGCAGGTAACTGGCAGACGAGTTCCTTTCATGTTGCAGCAGTGGGACCTACTTTTTTAAAGAATTCATTCTGCGTGGATTGGGCCCCTTAAACCATTAATCTATGCAGTGTTTTCAGGCTTTAAATAATGGCTAACTCCAGTGAGCAGAGCTCTCACGCCTTTTTTATCCCCCCTCTACCCCTACCCCACCCCATCCCCTCCTCGCTCGCCCATTCACCCGATTCTTTCACTTTTTGTGAGCAAGCTGAGAATTCTCACATGGGTAACCCCGTAATGCTCGCTAACATAAGATGAACTTGTGAAATGCATCACCCACCAACGCCTATTCAAACAAAGTAAAAAAAACACAGATACTTCCTCCTCATGCTTTTGGTTCCCCATCACCGCAGCAGGAGTATTATAAATTTGGTCACCTCTCCGCTGTATTGGCACATTTGATTGGTCAGCGTTTCGTCATGCTTTGATATTTGAAGTGTCCTTTATGCCAGGAGAGGAATGTGATGAAAACATACTCAGTCCCACCTTTGAATTTACATACAGCATCTCCTTGAGGAAAATTAACTTTTACTTTTTGGGCATTTTAGAAACCTGATTTTAACCAGACGCTTACTCCTCTTTTTATTTTTTCTCCTATGGACAGAAAACTCCTCTTCATATTTCTTTGTTGACTTTCATTGACCATCTTTGGTTTTCACAGCGATCATGCGATGTGACGCTTAGCAGGGCGACGAGAGTGAGTGCTGTCAGATGGGGGGCCACCTTTCCTACTGTCGTTGCAAAATTTGCACATTTAGGGCCGCTGCTTTGGTTTAAGTTTGTCAGCCCTCAAGGGGCCCCCCTGCAGGTCTGGGGGCCCTGCCCTGCCCGGTCACAAGCAGTCGCCTATGTGTGCCGTTCACATGTTCAT